TTTTTCCCCTCAGCATTTAATGCTGACCTGTAATTAAAACCTTTGGTATTTTCCCTTTTTGTTGCAGCTAGACTGGTTGTAACACTGGGATAGAAGGGGTGTCTCTGTTATTAATGTGAAGTGTTGCTATAAGAAAGCTATGTTCTTAGCTGCCTCAGAAAAAAGTAACCCTGCTTAAACCAGTGGCGTTTGCTGCCACTTGCAGGGCTTTTGAGACACACATGAACAAGCAACATACGAAACTACTTATCCCAATGAGCTATGGCTTTATTTGAAATTATTTATGGCAGATGTCTTTGTTTGACAGATTGGTTTGTCCCTTTAACCCTCCCCTGCTTAACAGGATGGCATTCCTCCTTATCATTTTTTACCTTATGCCTCTCTCTCTGTTTTGGACTTACTTTGGTTATCCATGAAGCCATCTGGGGGCTGGTTTTGTTTTGTTTTTATGCTTTGTGTTATTGTATTATGATTTACTAGTGTTGCTGTCCTTTTTAAGTTTTAATAATAAAAAGGCATTTTTAAAAAAAAAAATTAAATTAAAAACTGTGTGAACTGAGGGATGGGGTTATCCCTTTTGCCGCCAACTTTAACTGGGCCATTTTTCATTGGATTTCTCTGAAATTTGGATAGATGGACCCTTTCACCCAGGGGGTGCCTGACAGGGCAAACCATGTTCATTGTTTTCCCAGAGAATGTCTTCTATCCTAACTATAATGCCAGTCCTGTAATACACTAAGATTGCAATTTTATAAACACTAAGTGTAAATTCTTAATATAAGTTCTTGGAGACTAAGACGAAATGTCTTAGTAAACACTTAGGGTAAGTTCAGTGGGATGTGCATAAGATTGCACTATAAGGGACTAACTCATTTGCCTGCTGTATCCTTCCCACCACCTTTCATATGCATCAGACTTTCCAAGTGTCCCTATTTTCCAGTGACGTCCCTGATTTAGAGAAGCCGCCCCAGTTTCTGATTTGATCCGAGTGTCCCACTTTTCCTTAGGACATCCCTATTTTCAGTGGAGAAATTTTGGGAGGGTCTGGAGTTATCTGAACCCCAAGCTGTCTGAAGGCAACCCTGTTAGGGAAGTTTTTTTTAAAAAAATGTTGTGGTGTAGTGGTTAAGAGCGGTAGTCTTGCAATCTGGGGAACCGGGTTCGTGTCTCCGTTCCTTCACATGCAGCTGCTGGGTGACCTTGGGCTAGTCACACTTCTTTGAAGTCTCTCAGCCCCACTCACCTCACAGAGTGTTTGTTGTGGGGGAGGAAGGGAAAGGAGAATGTGAGCCGCTTTGAGACTCCTTAAAGGGAGTGAAAGGCAGGATATCAAATCCAAACTCTTCTCTTCTTCTTCTTCTTTTTTATATGTTGGAAGCTGCCCAGAGTGGCTGGGGCAACCCAGTAAGATGTGTTGGGTATAAATAGTAAAATTATCATTATGGAATGGGACGTTCCTATTTCCATCGGAGAAATGTTGAAGGATATGATACATTAGTGGTAGTAGTAAATATTTACTTTCCCCCTGATGGGACTCAATGCAACTTACAGACAAAAACAAGAATCACTAAAAACATAGAAAAAACAATAATTAATAGACAATTAAACATATGCATCCTGTTTAAAACATAGAAATAATTACATTAAAAACAGCATGGCACCAACCCTTTCATTAAAAGCAGCCAATTCCCAAAATCCCATTGGAACAAGATGGTCTTCACCTGCCAGCAGAAGGACAACAAGAAGGGAGTCAGTCGAGCTTCTCCAGGGAGGGAGTTCCAGAATCTGGGATCATCCACCATGTCCCCACCAAGATTGTCTATATGTGTAGTGGGACGAAGAGAAGGACCTCCCCTGAAGATCTCAAAACCCAGGCATGTTCATATGAGGGAATATGGTCTTTCAGATAGCTTAGACCTGATTCTATGATTCTATACCCAGCATTTTGAATTGGGCCCGGAAGCTGGCCAGTAGCCAGTGGAGTTGTTCTAGCAAGGCGTGTGTCACTGTGGCCAAATCAGACATCTCAAGGAACTTGCTTTTGTGTCCAGGAGATTCCTGCTGCCAAGTCTCTCTCCCTGTTAGCAGTCCTCTTGCAAGCAAGAGACCAACTGGATCAGCCCATAGTTGTGCTGTATGTAAATATGCAGCATCTCTTTGAGTGAATATGCTACTGTGAGCCAGAATATAAGCCTCTGTCGCATTTGTAAGCTGGTTCACACATCTGAAAGTAGTGTGTGGGCAGGAAATAGGCAAAAAGGCATTGTATAAAGCTACAGGGACCAATTGAATTAAGTGGAGAATAGGTTGCAACAAGCAACATATTGAAGATTCCTTTGGATAAAAAAAATAAGGCTTCTCTTAACGGAGAGAACTGGGAAATGTGAGTCTGAGCACGAGCAAGTTAAAAGTATAATTAGCAGCGCTAGAGTGAAATACAGAACATGAAGTTGCAGAGAATAGTTCAGCAAACAATACGGTATTTGTCAAATATATTTGCAGAAGACAGAAAGTAAAAGAGAAAATTAGTTCACGCAAAAATGAGAGTGGGGAATTGGAGACAGACCGATCCAGAAATAGCAGACTTCTTTCCATCTTCACTAAGTATTTTACTGGCATGTGAATCATCCCGTTAAAGGGAACTACTAATGGATCATCTGGTCCAACACACTGTTTAGTAAATTGCTTTGAAGATCTGGCATTAAAGATGAAAGCATGCTGTGGTTTGCCATTCCAGCCTACAAAGAAACAAATATTTACAGTTCTACGTTTTGCACTTCCCTTCTTAATTGATGTGTGATACCTTATATTTATGTGCAATTTGCCTTTGATTGCTTATGATTTTATAGTGCCCAGTTCTGCAGTCTGTTTCATAGTGGGAGCAGGGAGGCAGGAACAGCTGGCAGATTTCCAGTCTGTGTTGCTCCGCACTGGGAGCTTAAATGCTGGTGAAGAAGCAAGCTGCATATACCACAACTTTTCCTAAGAGCTGTCACAGTAGCTTAGGCATCTTAACAATGACTTTAGCCTAGGTCTCCTAGCAGTAACACAACTGTGTACTGGCAAAAAGCTGTCACAAGAGGATATTTGGTTGTTTTTAGGTGTCATTTGTCTGGTGTACACAAGAATGTGTGAATGTGATGAACAGGGGCTTGAGGACACTCATCAGAGAGCCAGGATTGGCTGCAGCAACTTCCTGATTGGACACCGGGGAACATACCTTGTTTTATAGCTGATTTTTCCCATGGACCACTTGAATATTGGTGGGTGTTGGCAGGCAACTTAAATTATTTTTCTGCCCATTGCTCTATTGTAATGTACTGTGCTAGATGCTGTACAATTTTAAATTGCATATTTATTACTTATTTCGTATATTGTATTTTATCGTATTATAATTTGAATTCCATATAATTCAAATCAGAATACAATATAAATAATAAAATAAGCAATGCAAATTAAATTAGAAATCAATATGAATATTTAATGCTGTAGATGTGCCTGTTGTGTTAAACTTCTTAATTCTAGCCTCCCATTAACTTTGCTGCTAATCGTCTCAACTCCTTTCAAGGCTTAATAAGAATGTGAAAGGATGGAGAAATTTGCTCTTTTCTCACCACCAGTAAAAGCGATAGTGTCTTAATTCTAGCCTCCCATCAACTTCATGAGATAAAAGATATTAAAGATTCGGACTACATGAATGAAGCTTGCAGACTACTGGTGGTCCACAGACCCCAGTTTGGGAACCTCTGTTATAGCGGATGACACACAAACAAGTATGGCAACACAGGCAATCAATACATCGCTAAACATAGGTGTTGGTCCAGCCTATTAGGAGTCAACTGTTACTGGATTTCTTTCAACCAGGAATAAGTGGCAGCGTCTGCCTGTTCCAGAGTGGAAATTGGGGGAGGGGATGTTTTGGAGTAATGGACATTTTAGTTAAGATCATAAAAAGAGCCTCCTGGATAAGGCCAGCGGTCCATCTAGTCCAGCATCCTGTTCGCCCCATGGCCAACCTGAAGCCTATGGGATGCTCACAAGCAGGACCTGTTTGCGATAGCACCCTCCCCACCTGCTGATTGGAGGAACTGGTATTCAGAAGCACATTGCCTCTTCACAATGGAGGAGGCTGAATATATAAGAATATAATATGCCAAATTTCTGTAAACTGCAGTCATTTACTATGAAAACAAATATGTGTTTAATTAGTTAACATTAAGATTAAAAATGCAGTTTCTCATGATTTTAAAGTGCCCTTTCGAATTCATTCTCTCCCACACTCCTAGTGAAAATTCCTTTTAAAAGGATCTGGGTCAGGGGCAGCAATGGGTTTACAGTTTCCTGGAGCCAGACTGGTGCTAGTGCAGCAAAAAAACAAAACCCAAAACTGGTGATTTTCTGGCCCCCAGTTTCTATCCTGGCCAGGACTAGTCAGCAGGGCTGTGGATGTTGCGTTGCATCTGCCACTATGTCCCATTCAGCCTCAGTTTGGATTGATCTGTGACTTAATAGGTAGCAACTGCACCAGTATATACTAGAGTGCATTGCTGATCATGCCAGGGTTGCAGGTTTGATCCCTGTACGGGGCAGCTGCATATTCCTGCATTGCAGAGGGTTGGAGTAGATGATCCTCAGGATCCCTTCCAACTCTACGATTCTATGATTCTACTATGATCTTAAATGTGGAAATCAGTTAGATATTTGCAAATTTAACCCACTCATCAATAGTGTTTGGTTTTTGTTGTTGTTGAAAGTATATAATAATCTGCATCTGCAATCTTACTTTTAACTATAGGATATATTTTCTACAAAAGATAGCCAAGTGCTGATGTGATGATAGCAAAATGTAATTCAGTGCCCAGAATTAGAAAATCGGGATCTATCTAAAAATAACACAGTATGTTATCTCTACAGGCTCACACAGTAATGTTATAACAGTTGTACACCTTTGAAAAATTATTTTGAAAGGAATTGCATAGGAGAATTACATGCAGTAAATAGCATTGTAGCATTTTATTTGCTCTACCATTTCAAATGCATTTTAGTAGATGGTATTCCACTTGCTTATTTAGTAATTCCTGAGTTCAGCTGCATTTTATTCCAAAATCTGAAACATAGATACTTGCAATTTCACGTGCAGAAAACATATTATAAATTGGTTTGCTTCAGAATGGGACAGAATATTAGATTGCACAGTTACCTGCTGAGTAGTACACACTTGTTTTGTAATGTTGTTTTATGAGTAAGAGATTGAAACCGAACATGTGCTTTCAATTCTATACCTTGACATTGTTGATCTGTTTTTATTGATTTCTCTCATCTGGTCAAATATGGTGGTCTCTGTGTATTTTATAAATGATTATATAGTGGAATTTGGCAATGGAGAAGCTTTAATTATGTGTGGTTCATCCAATGCATCTTAGTTTTTCAGCAGACTTGGGTGAAATGGTTGACTGAGTGTTTCTGCTGTTCATAATTCAGAAAGAAGTTCTCTTTGTATAGGGCAAAGCCGGAATAATCAAGGATTATAGATTATGTGTCTGTATCTCAGCCTTACTAAAGACAGTGACTTTCCCTGCATTTGTTTCCAGATAGGTAAAGATGGTTCTATGTGATATAGACATTTTCCCCCTTAGATTTTCAAAATGTTTTATATTTTGTGTATTCCATTAAAAAACCCAACGTACTGTGATCATATTTTGATGTGAGCATTTTATAAACATGCATTAGAAGTTTGAAAGCTGTCGGTTAACAAGAACCTCGATTCCTTCCCTTTTTCACTTTTTCCCTCTGATAATATTTCTTCTATACTATTGAGCTCTGTCTAGTGACATTGTAAGTGGGATGTACTTCCTCACATCAGTGCCTTGTTAATGCCATTCATTAATCTAGAACCATGAGCTTGTTCAGAGATGGTTAGATATTCCATATTTTCATAGAGTTTGGGGGAAGGGTGACAGCTTACTTTACAGCTTTTGAAACCAGACCTCATTGGCTGTCATGTCATTTTTAATCCTGATAAAAGAGCAGAGGCTGATGTGAACTTGAAGCCTGGGGATGCAGTGCGAAGATCACACTGAAACCTTCCACAGCAGAGAGCTTTCTCATCCATTTCCTGTATGCAGTAAAGACCAGGACATTTGCTCATTTTCCATAGCTGTATTACAGTCTCTCTTGTTCATGTGTTTCAGTGAACGTCTTGTCCTCGGACTCAGAGATCACACTGAGAATTCCAGATGTATTTTGTGGATATCCTGTAAACTCAGACATACCTAAATGTTTGCCGGTGTTCACCTTGCCTGAAAGGTGGGAGAGAGCAAAACCATGGAATTTGTTATTGCAAGATGTGGCAGCATCTACCCCATTTTACCAATTTAGATAGGCTAATCCAATTTGTCCTCTCTTAAAGATATCAATGGCTGCTATTTCACCTTAGGTTATCAATGAAGGAGCATCTCCACCCCCATCATTCTGCCCAGACACTGAGGTCCAGCGCTGAGGGCCTTCTGGCGGGTCCCTCACTGTGAGAAGCCAAGTTACAGGGAACCAGGCAAAGGGCCTTCTCGGTAGTGGCACGCGCCCTGTCGAAACCCACCAGATGTCAAAGAGAACAACAACTACAGGATGCGAACAGGATCCGTTACGGAGACCCGTTCGCATCCTGAGCAGAATGCAACCCGCGAGTGGGCGGGTCGTGATTCGCCGTTTCTGCGCATGACGTCATTTTGAGCACATGCGCGAGCGGTGAAACCCAGAAGTAACCCAGTTCGTTACTTCCGGGTCGCTGTGGGACACAACCTGAAAAGATTTACCCTGAAGCGACTTTAACCCGAGGTATGACTGTACCAGACTTTTAGAAGGCATCTGAAGGCAGCCCTGTTTAGGGAAGCTTTTAATGTTTGACGGACTACTGTATTTTAATATTTTGTTGGAAGCTGCCCAGAGTGGCTGGGGAAACCCAGCCAGATGGGCGGGGTATGTATAAATAAAAAAATAAAAAATAATAATAATAGCAGCTGAAGAGGGCTGTGATCTACTCTCCTTGCCCCACACTCCCTGAAATTGGGTCAGGGTAGGTTAGGAGAATGGCCAGAACAGTGTTCAGGGGGAGAAGAGAGGGATTGTTCCATCTGGCAAGCTGGAATGCTTGTGGAGATGGAACAATTGGAAGAGCACAGTGTTGAATTCCACGCAGTGTGTCTTGTGTGCAGAGTCCAGTCCAGTCAATTGGATATGGAGGTGCTTAGCTCCTCTGAACCTGAGACTAATTAATAAATATAAAAATATTTTGTAAGCTAAAACAAGTTGTGGCGTGCTCTCTCTTACAAATTGTCTGCTTAGATAAAACCATTGGGCCAGATGTTCAATTGATCCTTACAATTGGTGTGTTTAATGGAGCTTCAACAATTTGCATCAGCTGTGAATTATCCTGGGAAGCCCTGCATACAGGTATATTAGATTCTGAGAAATAAATAAGTATCCGGGGAAGTTTCAAGGCTCTGAGCATCCTCTGACAGAAAGGAATATGTGTTTCAGTGCAAACAACATGGATGGATTATTAAGCACCTAAAAGAGATCATTTTAAGAGGCTAGCATTAAGAAAGCTAGCTCATATTCAAATGAGTACCAGTTCACATTTTTAAGGTGTTATATATGCACTTATAATAAAAGAGATGTAAAATAACCCAGCATTTGGAGAATTTCACATTATAAATCATAATTGCACTCACTTAGAAATCTGCTTTGCTATTGATACATGTGCACAACTTTCATTAACTCTGATAGTTTCATTTATTGATGGCAGAGTAGATTGCGGCACTGAGTGCTGCTCTATTACCCTCCCCACTGTGATGATAGCAGTGTCGTATTGCTGCGATAATAGATGCAGCCTTATTGCTAAGCTAGGACTCTTTGAACTGGCAGAACATTTGGGGAGAGGGGGAGGGGGAGGGGTGGTGGAGGGAGATGGGGAAGGGCTGAGCACATGTTTTTCATGCATCACACAGGGTCCTGGGTTCAATCCCTCACATCTCCTGGTTCTGTTTGGAAAGATCCTTGTTTGAAACCCTGCAGTGCTGATGCCAGTCATTGCAGACAGTACTAAGTTAGATAGCCTAATGTTCTGAATTAGTATAAGGCAGCTTCCAATGATCCTGTGACCGAGCAAGATGTGTCATAATACACTGGGGCAGAAGGGTGCACCTATCTGGGGGCCACGTCTGTGCTGAAAATATCTTTGGACCAAAATCTGCAGGAACATAGCCTATTACTCCAACTTCTGACACAGCACTTGACAGTATCCAGATTCTGCCTGTCTTGGAGCTGGATGTCCCTCCCTCCCTTGATGAACTGAAGAATGCCATCAACTCTCAGGCATTTCAACTACAGCATAAGCCTGCTATGAGTAGAATTTTGCAGCTTGGGAATAACTAAATTATTTTGGTATTTATCTGTTGTTTGTGAACAGGGAATTTGCCATTCCACTTTAAAAGTTCAGTATATTGGACACTGTTACTGATGTACAGCAAATGAGTGTTTGATCACTCCTGTTGATGTAATCATTTTGAATAAGGACAGTCTGAAATGGTTTAATATGTGGGCCCTTTTGTTAGGATTTATCCAGAATATTACAAAGGCATGGTCTCTTTCCTGCACTGATGGACTCCCATGTAGACTTCTGGTTTCAATATCCCTGGCAAAAGATCTTTTCCTGAGACTCTGGAGAGCCATTGGCAATCAGACACCATAGACAGTACTAGGCTATATGGACAAATAGTTTGACTTGATAGCTTCCTCTGATATATCTAGTTGTGCACTGTATATATTTTGGGGTTTGGTAGCTTTTTGGTTTGCTTGTTTTTTGCATGTTCAGTGCTTTATTTGTACTTATTTGTTGTGTTTATTTATTTATTTATTTATTTATTTATTTTGTGACCATACAGCATTACTATATTTACCCTTACGTTATCAGTTTCCAAGCATATTTTAGGTGCAGGGGATTTTTGTTAATGATTCACCCCTTTCTCTCCTCTTTTTCAGTGGGTGACATATGATGTTCCTTCTGCAGGAACATGTAGTAAGACGTAAACATGACTCAAGCTTTATTGTAGCAACTGGACCCATATCAATACAGTGATACCTCGGTTTTTGAACGTCTCCATTGACGAATGTTTTGGTTTTTGACCACCATAAACCCGGAAGCGAATGCTTTGGTTTTCGAACACGCCTTGGAAGCTGAACAGGAAACGTGGCTTCTGTATTGAGTTTTCGGTTTTCGAACGTTTCAGAACTTGAACGATCTTCTGGAACAGATTACGTTCGAAAACCGAGGTACCACTGTATTCTGGGCGGGGGGGGGAGATACCTTGACAATATTAACCGAAGCTTCTGTTTCATTGCACTGTACCAGTAAAGCCATTCCCCTTGGTAGGTACTGAAGAAGTGGCTGCCCACACTGAAGATGAGGCTGTCAGGCATAATGATCATTAAAAACTTAGCAGAGAATCCATAGGAGAGACGGGTCCCTGGAGAAATGACTTCCACACAGCTGAAATGGTATAATTAATTACAAGGCAAAGACTCCAAAATATTCCCATGCGAATGATGATAAACAGTGTGCAGTAAAGAATTAGAAGTGTTTTATGCTGGAGTTAAGATACTCCTCTTCTGCAGCACTGCACTGTACACCATTGCTTAAGGCGTTTCACTGAAAAAGTGTAGCTTATCAAAGAGAAATTCCCATATGAGTAGAAAGTATTAAACTACTTTTTGCCTGACCCACAGTTTACAGTAGGAACTGACTCTAAGCAGGGGGCAGCCCCATTAGAGCACCTTTCTCGGACTTTCCATCCCCCGCAATAAAAAATTATAAGAAAATTTGCTTGCTTTTGCCTTTTATCAGATCTTGGGGCGGATGCTTTGAAAGCGTGAAAATAATACTTAAATATTTTTGTTGCAATGTTTTAAGATATGTTCAGGAGTTGAAGAGACTACCTCATGCGTTCTTCCAACACAACAATGACTTGAGAAGCATTTACCGGTCAGCGCCACAATCATTTTCTTTCACCCAGACAACTGCTTTAGGCTCTGGCATACAGTTGGAGGAAAGTGATTAGAAGAGACTCCCTGACAGACTAACTAGACATCACAGTGATATGACTCATGCCTTAGCACTGGGACTGGCTTTCCTTGGGCCAGGTTCAGCGTTCATTCCTGAATCTGGGCACCACTTAATTTCCCCCTCCCAAACAGGAGTGCCATTTCAGGTAAATAGTAGCCAAAATTATTTGTCCAGTTCAGGGGATGGGGGCTTCCTTCCCCACTACCTCCTTTCTCATACTTTTTAAGAAAGGTAAGAGTAGCAGCGGGGAAGGACCAGCGGCGGAGCAAGTCGATCGGGCACCTGGGGCGGCGCACGTGCCCTGCGCCCAGGGGCGGGGCAAGCTAGGGAGGGATGCTCCTTGGGGCCTCTGAGGGGTCTGTCTGCCTCCTCCCACTCAGCCGCCCTACAGCTGATGGGGAGGCGGCGGGCGGACCGTTTGGGGCAGTGTGGAGTCTGCGGGCGCCCAAGCCACTGCATCACTCCCAGGAGAGATGCTTGGCTTGGGCGCGCTGCAGGCCCCGCGGTGAGTGCCGCCCAGCATTTTGTCACCCCCTTCAGTGGTGACACCCGGGGCAGCCTGCCCCCACCGCATCCCCCTTCCTCCGCCCCTGGGGAGGACAACCTCTCCTCTCCTTCCTCTGCATTCTCTCCCTTCTTGCCACTCCCCCCCCCTTTGAAGATGGAGACAACATTTGCCTGCTTCCAGTCTGCAAGGACCTCACCTGTTTTTCGCTGGATCTATACTCAGTCTTTGAACATTTTTAGAGTTTTTGATATCATTCCAAAACATAAGAGGCATTTGGTTTCTCCACTTCCTTTTCTACAAGGTCTGCCCACTTATTTGAAGGGGAGGAAGCTCTGCAGCACCCTCTGGTGTCACATTTTAATAATGCACTCTTGGTGTTTCAAAAGAACGTCATAGGGTTATATGATTATCATAACCGTTTTAAAACTCATTTTTAGCATTAAGAACCACGAGTGTAGATGAGTTCCTTATCCCAGACTTTGGGAAGAATCTGTGTGCCAATATCTAGTTCCCATATCTTTTTAAGGGGTTCTATAGATCCAGTGCTTTTTCCTGGGGGGTCGCAGGGGTACACATACCCATAAAGATTTTGTGAATCTCTGTACTTTTGTCCATTTAGTGTATTTATTTTTCCCAATTTGAACTATAAAATGGTGATTTTCTTGAGTAAAGATGAGAGTACCCCTAAACATTTTTTTAGGGGGGGAAAGGGCTGTATAGATCCATAAATTACATTAAGCATCAAGCCAATATAAGTGTTCAATTTGGAAACTAATCATCCCCGCCCCTCTACCTATCGTGCTTAATAAATTTTAAGATTGTGTTAAAGGTCTCGGAGCTTGTGCTTTTACATGTTCTTTTTCAATAAAACTATGAATTTGATCAAAATAAATCCAGTTTGTGTTAAGATTTGGCAAAGTTAATTTTATTTGGTTAATACATATGGGTTGATTATTGGTGCAGAATTCTCATAATGTGCAGAAACCTTTGGATTCCCAGTGTTCAAATTGCTTATATCTCCCTTGCTGGAAAAACATCTGGGTGATGTGATACTGGGATTAATGGAGAAATAATAAGTGCAAGTCTAGGTTGCAAGGTTTTCCGTATCCAATCAGTACAATTAGTAAATAGATTTGTTATAGAGTTCAATTGGTTTGGTTTAAGATTCTTAAGTGCAAGAGCTTGTAGCAAGAGATGTTTAGAAAATTTGATTTCAAAGTGTATATATACCCAGTGCCTATTTGGTTCCCCTTTGATTATTTGTAATAACAGTCTCAGTTGAAAGACATAGCCACTTCTAAGCACCAAATTCATGCAGTTCTGAGTACAGGAATTTGGTTTGTTTGAAGGAACTTTTGGAAAGCTGGGGTGAATGATAGGAAAGATAGAATTAGAGCATTCCAGTCAGGAGTATGAACTTGGGGCAGCTGGGAAACAGAAGACTTTGTGGTGTCATGACTTCTAAATGACATTTTAATGGGCTAAGTGTGGTGTGTGTGTGTGTGTGTGTGTGTGTGTGTGTATCATCCCATTTTCAAATCTACTTGCATTCCTGTAATGCAGCAGCCACTGCTGTGGTTTTAAAAGGAAATATACTTTCTCCTCTGAATCTGAACTCCTCAGTGCATGCGCATGAAGACACCCATATTTTGTTGTTTAGTGCAAAAGCACTGATTGTCACACAAAGGTGAGACTTGTGTACTTTCAAATGCTGCAGTCAAAGTAAATATCTTACCATTCTTTTCTGTTGTTTACCTCTCTATGCAAGAAAATATTTTTAAAATGCAGTGCTTTTGTGTAAAGCAAAAGCTCATGTAAAGCTGCTGCCTTTGTTTTGTTTGTTATTATTCCTTGATACGGCTGTTAATAGAAAGGACATGGATTGAAGAGAGGACCTTCTTTTCCTAGGCAATGTGTTATTGATGAGCTGGCATTTGCCCTGTGGCTTTCCCGGAGGATTGCTTACATCTATTACTCACACACATCGATTGGTTAATTTGATAATTCTATCACCAATCAGCTTGTGTCTGACCTTTTTGCCATGGCAATGATGGCAGAGTCTTCATTTTTACATTGCAGACCTGCTAGATTGACCTTTCTGAGGAGAATGTCAAGACATCCCTTGATCTTAACCTGTCACTAAATTTGTTAGAATTACACTGTCCCTTAACCTTGATCTCATGTAGTTGTTGTATTCAGGATGCACATTGTGCCTTTTTAAACATTTTTAAATAAATTGTGTCAGTTGAAAACAACCAAAACAAAAGCCTACATTCGAGATTAAAGTCTGTTTTGCCTTAAGATGTGTGTGTGTGTGTGTGTGTGTGTGTGTGTGTGTGTGTGTTCATGTTCTTCGCTGCTTATATTTGGAATGATAATTGCGTAAGAAATTCCATAATGTGTGCCAAATAAAACTATTCTGTCCTGAGGGATTTCCCTTTTTATTTTACCTCAGTGAACATCACACGGTACAATAAAACACCTGAACATATACCTGGTTTTGTGTTCTCATAACAAGTGCTGCTTGATTTACCTTTATTGAAAATGGCTCCTAATTGGAAATTCACATTCAATAGAAAAATAAACTATTTGGGCCCTAAGTCCTAAATGAATTTACTTGAACAGGGCCAGATTTAGGTTTGACGAGGCCCTAAGATACTGAAGGTAATGGGGCCCTTTATATGTCCAGCTGTCCTTTGTCAACAACAAATTGTCACTGTTTTTGTGTGTGTTAAATATATGCTATATGGCAATTTATGGACCTAATAGGTATCTAAAGTCATTTGCACATAACAAAATATGTATTTTATCAAAGTAATTGTTGAACTGAAATACAATTAAGAAGTAGTATATTAATAGTGAATTGGGGGCGGGGGCAAGTGAGTGGGGCCCTAAGCTATAGCTTGTTTAGCTTATACGTAAATCTGGCACTGAACGTAAGGCCTATTTATTTCAACATAACGTCATTCAAGATACTCCCTCTTAATTAACCCTCAGTTGTTCTGGCCCCGGTCATATTTATGAGTAAACCTGTTTAGGGTAGAGCTGTAAGTCTTTGGTTTTTATTATTCAGATTTTCCTAGCTTTCTAAATGTAAATATTCCATTATCTGTGTGTACATATTTTAACAGCGGCCTGTCACCAAATTTGCCATTGGCAATCTGAGATAAAGTTACATTTACCAACAATTTGCATGCTTGTCGGAGCACAGAGTGTCAATCTGTTCCTTTGGGGGTGTCGCAAAGGGGGTGGGGGTGGGTGGGAACCTTATTCTGCAAAGTCAGGAGGCTATCACAGTCAACAAGCATGTAGAATGAATGCAAAATGTAGTTCAACAATCAAGACACCATACTGAAATCCTAGGCTCTCCATGTGATTATAATAACAATAAAGTGACACTAGAATAGGTTCTCGTTCACCAGCCCCAAGGAAGCCTAGAATAGATCTCTCAATTGAGACCCAAGTCCTCTGACACAAATTAAGTGGCTTCTCATTGTGACCAGGAAGTGTGAGACACCTGTAATTTCTAAGGCTGCTTTTCCTCTAAGCAGACACTCCTAATGTACAAGAAAGCACTTTTAATGTATAAAAAAAGCTAGCACAATGTGGCTTTGTAATGGAACTGATTTTGTTAAAGACTGGGATGAAATGACTAAACTCATTTCACTGGTAATCTTAAGCAAATTCACATCTAAGCCTTAGGAAGTTAAAGGCTAGTGTGCTAACAGGCTGAATATCCTCTGTATTCACAGAATATTAAACTAAAACCAAATCTCAGATGATTCTGTATGGACCGGAACATGCCCTCTTGTTAATTAGGAACAGCGTAAGAAGCCCAAGACATTAATAAGAAGATTTGTATTAAAAATTGAAAGATTAAACTGTTATCTCTCCCTTTGATTTCTTGTAACAGAACAATCTTCTGTGCCTTCAATGCCTAATCTTAGGTGAGCTTGTGAAAAGACCTTAGGTAGTAAATATTATTTTAAATCAAGGCTTTGAGCAAAAGTGCAGATAGTAAGAGCTTTAAAGTTTTAAATGATTCTAGCCCAGCTCATAATAGCTCTAGATAGAGGATGGTGATGAGAAGAACGACTCTGAAAAATGGGATAGGAATAGTTGTGTTAGGGTGGGCTATTAAAGCCTAGCTAGTGGGGGGCAGATGCACTGCTTTGAACAAAAGGTTGAAGGTATGATTAACAGTTAGATTTCTTTTTTCTTGAAGCCAGAGTCATGCAGTTAATTTATATATAAATTCTTTTAATAATAAATACTGTATTGCCCCCAAATATAGGCCACAATTTTCCCCTCCCCCTGCCCTGCAAAAAAACAAAGGGGGGGAAGGCTTGTATAAAAATACAGTAATAGTTATGCAGTGCAATCCTATATATCTCCTCAGAAGTAAGTTCTGTTGCAATGGTGGAAAACTTGATTTGGCCGTACCCCTCAGATGCCAAATGTGACGTGGGTGGGGCTACCCACCTGTCAGTCACCTGATGTCACTGTGATGTCATGTAGTGATTGTTGGGACTTCAAAGCACAGCAGGTCTTGCAAAGAACAGTGCTTTGTTGAGCTGCTGATCTACAGGCTTTAAGTCACTGCCAGTCAGCTGGTTGGTCATGCATCTGATCCAGTCATGTCTCTCTCTGCCGCACACTTGTGACATATGATGTCAGGTGTAGGGAAGGTGGGCCTGGCTTGGGGGAAATGGCATCATGTGCCAAATTGGGACCCATGCCACGCCTGTTCAATGGGACTTACAGATGAAAGTGCAGCCTTCAGTATGTGCTGTTGTAATGTTTAATATGGTGTTGATTTTGTACTGTGCTGTTTTAAAAATATGTATATTACTATTTATTTACTATCCACAGTAGTAATAATATTTTATATTTACATTGCTCCCCCCCCCCCGAGTGCTCAAAATACATCATATACATTATTTGAAATACAACAACCCTGTAAATAGGTGGGAATTGTCATCAAACACATTTTTGTTCATTTCAGGGTTTTATGTGCCATTTTCTTGTATTTGCATTTTTGTATTATGTTGCACAATGCCCTGCAATCTGATGTGATGAAGTATAAAAATGGTTTTAAATAATAACGTCAACATTTCATTCACAATATCAATATGAAATTGTGGCTGAGATAAGATTTGAAGCAGGTTACCCCAGGGCTGTTGAAATCCAACTCCCATTAGCCCCAGCCAGCATGATGGGAGTTGTAGTCCAAAGAGCCACAAGTTCTCCAGTTCCCATAATTGTTTTCAATGGCATGTTATTACTATAATATGTTGCATAGGATTTTTTGTCACATTTTCTGTAAGCTGCCTCAGATTTCAGATGCAAGATACAACTGTTTAGGAAGAAACATATTTACGTTACTTAACAATTAATTCACTATAAATATACCGCATTTTGTGTTATTGTATAAAGTGTTTTAAGAGATAAATATTCCTTATCTCTTGGTTGTTAGATTAACTTTTCTACCATAGGAGCCAACTCCTAGGGGCTGAGGTCTCTTTGCTATATGAGGGGGCTGCCTCTCCCAATTGATGGGCATTGCAGGCGCCGCATCTTGTAATTGATTATGTGGGGCGGGGCTTACCATTCCCCCTTCAATATTCTATTCAAGTTGGTGTCCATGTTTCCTACTATATCCATTCTAGTTTGCCGTCTCTTGCTTATGGGGTATGTGTTTGTGGATGTGTGTGTGTGCATGCCTGAAGTTTATTTCTCATATTTACATTTCAGCAGCTCTCTGTAGAAGCAGCTCTGTAATGAGAGTACCTTGGCAGCCCAGGTCTATCAGGTATTACTTGATAAAAAAACTACAGAATCATGTGAGTCTGTAAGAGATATTTTAAGCACTGGTAACGAGAATTTAATAAGCTAGCAAATAGGCCGGGTGAGTTTATTAATGCGAGCTTATTGGCCTTGAGAGTAGTTTGTAGTATTAATTAAAGATGGATCAGTCTATTTCCAGGCTGTGTCCCTTTCAAATGTGTTTATTCATTCTGTTTTTGCAATAATTTGGGGGGGAAAGAAAAAAGTCAACTCTGCATGAAATTTGCCTTTAAATTCGTAATCATGTATTTTGAACAGATTTTCTCACAATACACCCACTTTTTTCTAAATTTATGCATTTCTAAACATATTTTATCTAAATATATACATTTTAAATGCATTTCAAAGGTGAAAACTGCACCACAAAATTCAGAGCAGTGCTGAATCTAAAAAATAATGACATTTTCATCTACAGATTAGTTTGGGAAGTGTAGAAAGGGTCAGTGCGTATTTGCAAAGCACAAATTATTATCACAAATGTAGTATTAACTGCCATGAAAATCCTCTTAGTCACAATATATGTGGCGGTGAAGGTCCTGTGCGAGTACCTGGAGGCGGTTGGAGGATGGATGGCGGCTAACAGATTAAGACAGAAGTGCTCTTTTGGGGGGACAGGGGGCGGGCAGATGTGGGGCACTCCCTGGTCCTGAATGGGGCAACTGTTCCCCTGAAGGAGCAGGTGCGCAGCCTGGGAGTCCCTATCTGCCAGCGGACTGTCTCGCTAGAGTGGTGCATGCTCCAGTTATCTCTCGCTTGGACTACTGCATTTGCTCTATGTGGGGCTGCCTTTGAAGGTGACCCGGAAAATACAGCTAATCCAGAATGCAGCAGCCAGACTGGTGACTGGGGCGACCGCCGACACCACATAACACCGGTCTTGAAAGACCTACATTGGCTCCCAGTACATTTCCGAGCACAATTCAAAGTGTTGGTGCTGACCTTTAAAGCCCTAAATGGCCTCGGCCCAGTATACCTGAAGGAGCGTCTCCACCCCCATCGTTCTGCCCGGACGCTGAGGTCCAGCGCCAAGGGCCTTCTGGCAGTTCTCTCACTGCGAGAAGTGAGGTTACAGGGAACCAGGCAGAGGGCCTTCTCGGTAGTGGTGCCCGCCCTGTGGAATGCCCTCCCATCAGATGTCAAGGAAATAAACAACTATTAGAAGACATCTGAAGGCAACCCTGTTTAGGGAAGTTTTTAATGTTTGATATTTTATTGCTTTTTTTATTCTGTTGAGAGTCACCCACAGTATTTCTTGTATCTCTAGTATCCCTCCTTCATTTAGAGGCTTAGGCCTTCTGAATAATTGTTTGTACTCTAGTGCAGTGCTACTCAAAGTGCATCATAGAATCATGGAGTTGGAAGGGACTCTGAGGATCATCTAGTTCTAGTCCAACCCCCTGCAATGCAGAAATATGTAACTGTCCCATATGGGGATCGAACCTGCAACCTTGGCATTATCAGCACCATGCTCTAACCAACTGAGCAGCAGTCCACAGACTGGTGTTGGTCCACAAGCCCAGCTGCTGGTCTACAGCCCAGTTTTGGTGTGATGCTTCAGAGACCAAATATGGTACCGGTTCCTGGCACAAGGAGGAGGCGGATTGCCGGTCCACAACATCAGATTGTTTGAGAAGCGCATGATGTCAGTGGGCAGAGTGTTAAGACCGCCTACCTCTGTTTTGATTTGTTCTCAAATGGACACACTGAGGGGTAATACTGAATCAATCTGTAATGTGCTTTTATTTCCGGAATGAAACCAGTTTCTCAATAAATACATTTCAGGGGTAAAATATATGCAATAGGTGCTAGCTCGTGTGCGGACTACGTAAAAATACAAGTGTCTCCATTGATTCTAGAATAACAATGTTGTGTGTACACAGCCTGAAACTGGCAGTCACAGGTTAATGGCTGAAGCATATGCGGACTCCACTCCAAATATCTAGGAAGTGCTTCACATTATTAAGGGAAGCTATTAGTTCTTTTACTTAAAATTACTGCAGATAATAGGCTGACCAGAATTTTAGTTAGTTAATACATACTGCCAAGAAGAAACTCTTAAAGTATCTTATTGTATTATATTTCCTAACTGAATATTGTTCCTAAGACGGCTTATCTTGAATCTTACAGTGTGTTAATTTCCTACCATAGCAGTGCCAGCACTAGAAAAAAAATATATTGGGGAGGGCACAGAAGCGCAACGCGCATTTTTGTGGGGTGGGGGCAGCTATATGGAAATATGTGATTGGTCCCTAAAATGCATATTTTTTCACCCAACAGGATAATTTGTGATAAAGAGAATGGTTATCAGTTTCAAATAAACCTCCAGCTTCCAATCACATTTTTCCCCCCTGTGAAACTCAAACTGTGAAGTCTCTAGAAAATGCTGAAGGAAACCTACTGATAACTCCTGATGGAAAGTAACAGCAATTTAAGTTGTTAAATGTCAGTTTTCTAGCAAAGTGGAATTCATTTATTTCATTCCCTCAAACCTACAAACACTTGGTTATCACATAGTTTGAGCTAAAATTAATTAATCAAATCACCCTAACTTAAAATGTGTGAGGTCAGAGTGGTTTGTCAACACCCTTTAATAAGTTCCTGGGTGTGGGATAGTAAAATCCACAACCTGTTTCATATTTATATGAGAAATTAATGCTGTAGGTTTTTTTTTATGTTGAACATACACCACTGAGCATGCATCAAAATAAATTTTGATTCAGTGTTGACCTTCAATAATAATATGCAGCTCAATTACTCCCACTTATATGTGGAAATTACAGTATCTGCAGAAGTTTTATAACTCAGGCAGGATTTCTATTCATTGTTAATTTTAGAAGTAGATATAGAAATCTACTGTGATTCTTGCCCTCTGACTATATGTCCAAACTTTTTTAAAATTCTGTAGCTAGTAATTTACTTTTCAATTGTAGAATGTTTATTACCTTTTAGTCTTCATAGCTGTTTGTTTAAATGAACAAATGAGAACAAGGCACATTTGATTTTGTCTTCTTTAGTTCTCAGAAAATAAAAGAAAGAAAGAAAGAAAGCATGTCTGAACTGGTTATCATAGCTTATTTCACTAAAATAAGCCACTTTCATTAAACCAAGAACAAAAATTCACATAGCATCATGTTTTGTTTCGTTTTTTGCTGAGAAACAAACTATGATCCCCAGTTCAGACATACAGCTAAGCCAAGAATCATGGTTTGTTGCTCTTGCTGGGTGGAACAAATGAACTCCATTGTGGAGCACTTTTCTGGGGAGAGCATTCCACAAACAGGGAGCAGTGCAGCATTATGTACACCACCTTGAGCTCTTGGGATAAAAAGATGGAACATAAATGCAGTAAACTGTGGTCCAGCAACATCTGAAATATGAAGCCAAGTGGAGGAGGCGACCATGACAAAAATCAAGGAACAGGTAGTAGAGGGAAGGCAAGGAAGGGACAGGAGAGGGCAAGGCGGAAGAGGAAATTGCTTCCCCACTGCTGCTTTATACAGTGGGGTCACCATGGCTGTCACCATGGCTGCTGTGTAAAGTGGCAGTGGGGCAGCAGCCTGAAGTTCTCCTATAGCCTTGCTGCTCTCTGGGTCCTTGGCGAGTGGGCTTCCTGCTTTCATACAGAGGCTATGAGAGCAGCAAGCCTATTGGCCAAGACTGCCCAGAGGGAGGCACCTAGAGGAGGAGGAAGAGGAAGAGAATCCATTGCCCTCCTGCTGACACCACTTTACACAGCGATGATTCCATGACCCTGCCATGTAAAGCAGCAGCGGGGCAGCGGCTTCCTCTTCCTCTTCCTCCTTAGTGCCACTTCTCTCGGGTGCTGCCCGAGGCAGCTGCCTCAACCTGTGCCATTGTTTGGCCAGCTCTGGACTCAACCCTATCAAATGATATGCTTGTGGTGTTGTTTCAATATTACAAGCTTGCATTTATCCAGTCCTTCTTTCTGTGGGGTGGGGAAAACAGTAGCTCAGGGTAGGCGACCTAAGGCCCGTGGGCCGGATGTGGCCCAATTGCCTTCTCAATCCGGCCCACGGTGGTCCAGGAATCAGCGTGTTTTTACATGAGTAGAATGTGTCCTTTTATTTAAAATGCATCTCTGGGTTATTTGTGGGGCATAGGAATTCGTTCATTTCCCCCCCAAAATATAGTCCGGCCCCCCACAAGGTCTGAGGGACGGTGGACCAGCCCCTGGCTGAAAAGGGTTGCTGACCCCTGAGTAGCTATTCCCTTTGCGTTACAGACAGATATCACTTAGCTTTAGTAATTAGTAATTCACAGAATAAAAATGGAATACAAATATGTCATGGGGGGGATGTTATTATGGAGGCTGCAGCCACCACTTGAAGTAATCTAGCAAAGTATGGGTGGAAAGTCTAGGCCCTTCAAAAGGCTGCCAACAGATAAGCATGCAGGTCTTCACCCAAGATCAAAATCTCTGGGAATGTTTGTTGTTTTAAGTGTGTGCTAGTAGACAGATTCCTTGGTTTTCATTCCTCTTACCTATGTCAAATATATGGTCAAATATAATAAAAAAGTAAGTTTTCTTTCTTCAAATTAAAACTGAATGACCAACTATTTGCAGAAAGGTGGTATTTTGCTTATCTATGTGTTTCAAAGAGAAAATTCTTCTGTAACTGACATTAAAGAAGCCTAACTTAGTCTGTGCTTAAGTTGACCCAAATGATGAGGCACATAACTGTCCAAAGCTGCTCTATTGACTACAGCAATTGCATACATGAACACATTGGGATTTTTGACTATTTCCCCCCTAAACAGTGCTTTATTTGAGTTTAGAAATCATCTGACATGTTGGTTGGTTGATTAACCATTAAAATGCCAGTCACTGAATTTCTTGGCTACTTGAAGATGAACACTTTCTCCTATAAGCTGTTCTCAAGGGCTGTGACAGGGTGAAATTTTTTAGATAAGGCAAGACTAATGTCAAAGTACAATGCATGTGCAAAATCGCATCATGTGCATCTAACAAGTTACACAGTTGGCCTTTTGCCGTACTGAAAAGAGCAGATAATTCTAGGGTAAGTTTACTGTACGAAAAAGGTTAAGGCCAGCTGAAGTCCATTGAATGGCAATCCCATTTACGGGCTAATTCCATTATTCTTGGTGAGATTCAGTGGACTGTGAGAGACTTTTGAAGCACATTGGGTATCTTACCTCTAAAGCTGAAAACACAGTAGCATTCAAGTATAAGGTACAGAAGGATGTCTGTGTGTATTTCTATCAGAATGTGTGCGTTTTTCTTCAAAAAAAAATTAAGTATGGCTAGTATTGAAACTTTTCTATTTCCGTAATGTAAGAAAAGTTTTCAGACATCCCGAAATCTCTGTGATGGATATGGATGTCATCTTTCGCACAGGGAAGGGGCACCTTCTATTATCCATCACCCAGCATTGTTGGAGACACAGTACTTACAAAAATTGTGGGCAGTGCTGCAATAAACAAGAAGTTGAAAATTTAAATAATTTTCTGTGTAAATAAGTATGTAAATCCTGTGTACAGTTAGGTACCACGCTAGTGGCAATGTGATTTTGTTCCTTGTGATTCATTTTCGTCTTCAGAGGAATTCTGATTATATCAGTACATGTTTCCTGCCCGTTTTAATTGTTCCTATTATAATATTATTCATAGGTTTCAACAACTTCACTTGGCTCATTACTAAAGCAAGATTTTCCTTGGCTTAGTGCTTCTGTTTTATTTGTGTCTGGCGAATAAAGCCATGCTTTCTGCATTTTTCAAGGTGCTTCTATATTCTTGAGATATCTGTGGGGCACTTAACCTACATTAGACCTAAGAGGTCTGAGGGTTCTTCAGAAGACAAAGAATTTCATGCTACTGTCCTGGAGGATGTGTCAAGGGCAATACAGACAAAAGACTGATGTCTCCTTTAACAGCTTGATAAGTATCTCAGGATATTCAGCAGGAATCACTACAGTTCTACAAAGTACTCATTCAGCATAATATGGCTGGATATGTGCACTGTATATGACAATGGCAAAGACTTATCTTTGCCCTGAGGGCTAAGTGCTGTAACACTTCACAAGTGGTAGCCTTGATAGAAGGGAAGATTGAGAGATGCCCATGGACTAAAATGCAACATTGTGTGTGTTAAGGAATTAAACTTGGATCTGTAGTCATGTTGATTTTATTTTACGTTTCAAAGGTCTATTTATTTACAGCAGCAAATTCTCTTGTAAAAGAAAGCTAAATCATTCTTGTATTGACCATTTTTTTCATGTTGTTCTATTGAGGCCTCTTCCCAACTGAGTTCCTTATTGAATTGTATTTCTATGAGGGTATTGTAGGTTAGCAGCACATTTTATAGTACACAAAAGATGTGCCTTCTGAATTTTCAATGCCTTTCATATTGTTCCCCATAGAAAAAACATCTCTGAAATACTGAATAAATCAAAATAGAAACATTTGGCTCTTGACTTGCTGCCAACATTATTTTTCTCTAAGTTAACATTTGTTGGAGTAGTCTGTCTAGCCTACCTTTATCTATTTGATTAATATATACGAAAAGGCCTTTTGGAACCCTCTATTGCATTTTTGGCTAAAAAGCAAAGGAATTCATACTGCATTTATCTTTAAACTGAAAGCATATTAGTGCAGGATTTAAAGCAATCGAGATACACATATGTACACACACTAAACTTAAACGCTGTTTTCTGTGATTCAAGGACTCTGTTTGACAGTGTCTTAGAATCAAATCTATAAGCCTGTAGCATGTAATTGTTTAAATAAGGATTTCAGCTGAAACTGGTATGACACTGAGTACAGATTTTGTTCAGATATTTGTAGATTTTAAGTGACAGGGAAAGCTGTATATTAACCTGATTTGAATCAGGTTCCAGTTATTTTTATATCCTGTCCTTGAAGTATTCATTCTTTGAAATGGTCTACATACAATGTGCAGCTCAATTTGATGCAGTTAGATAGGTGCATCTCTGGAAGTGAGAAATTTCTCTGCCAAATCATAATACTTGTTTATCCAGCAGATAACTGCTTAGGCTAGGGTATATAACTACTTTGCCAGTGCAACAGTTTAAAACACGATAGCATGTGCCAGTGTTGTAAATGGGCATACAAATGTTTCAAGTTCAGGTGCGAAGGACTACTGTAGAATACATTATTTGTTCTGGGGGAAACACAATTTTGAATTGTGAGTTATGTAAGCGCCACCCCAACACTTCTGCAGGGTCTTTGTTACATCCAGCAGTGCCAGATTAAACCCTGTGGAAGCCCCTAGGCAGTTCAAATCTGGGGGGGGGGGGAGCTCGCATATTATCTCCTAATACGTTTTTGTAATTTTCTTTCAAGATCAAATCAATATTATTTTGATCTGTTGACATGGAGCTCCTAAAAGGTGTGGGTCCCACCACAGATTGCTGAACTGTGGTTAGAAATGCCTCCTTCCTTCTGGAGTACGAATTCCCACTGCTGCGCGTGAACTACAGTTAGCTGTTACATCATCAGCACTAGCACTAACCACAGGTTGCATGCTGTTTGCATATACAGACAAGCATCCTGTTATTCTGTGACCTGAAGGGTTTGAAAATCTTCCATCTCGTAGGCAAGGATTCAGATAAGTTAGCACTATTACCAGTGCTTCCCCCCCCCTAAAAAAATGTTTAGGGGTACTCTCATTTTGACACAAGAAAATCACCATTTTATAGTTCAAATTGGGGGAAATAAATACAGTAAATGGGCAAAAGTACAAAGATTCACCAGATGTTTAGGGGTAAAAAAAAAAGCACTGACTATTACTATATTTGCTTTGTTCAGCCTGTATTTCTTCAAAAAAGAAAAGTGGGAAAATGTTTATTACAGTATATTCTGATCTGATCATATACATATTTACTCAGACCTAGTTCCCACAGAGTTCAATGGGAGACTTTCTACATAGGAAGTTAAGTTTGACAGTGCAGTCTTGTGCATGTTTACTCAGAGGTAAGTCCTGCTGTGTTCAATGATGCTTACTTTTAGGAAATTGTGCACAGGGATGCAGCTTTGTAACGTTAAGATGCCATATAAGAAAGTGCTATTGCTATGTAATATTACTAGAGAAGCCTTTCTACTGACTTCACAAGACATTTTCCCCCAAGCTGAAATGGTAAAATAATGAAGGACGCCTTTGGTGAATTAAACAGCTTGTTAGTCATGAAGAATCAGTGGATTGAGTTCTCCAGAGGTTCAATGTACAAGGTAGAAGCAATGAGATTGGAAAAGTAAAACTCCTAGTTGCTGAATATATATTAAGATATTCTTCAAATTTAATATTGGAAATAGTTACATTTTGGCAGCTTACTAATTTATTAACTTTAACTTCAGTGATCCTGGCCAGAATTTAGCCATGACAGTAATTAAGGAAATTGTTCGGAATAAAGAGCTACATTGAGTAGTATGCTAGAAGCTGAAATACTCCTGTCATTTACTCCTTTGCGCCTCTACTGTGTGCCTCTAAGCTATGTAGTTGCTATCATGTTTTTTCACTTTACTTTAATCTTATTATTAAAAATTTTAAGGTTAAAAGTCTTGCATCCAAATTGCTTTCTTCCTCCAAGAATGGATCTAGTATAATTAAATGGAGACCATACTGGACATATTCTGAATGTTCAAAAGCTTTCTTGATCTTTAAAACTCTCCCTAGATTTACGTACTTCTAGGAAGAGCCTCGCTGAATCACAACAAAAGTCCATCTAGTCCCACATCCTCTCTGAATGAAAAGCAGGGCATGAAGTCAACAACCTCCCTGCTGCTTGTCTTCAACATCCAGCATCTAGTGGTAGAATGCCTCTCTATGTGGAGGTTCTATCTAGCTGATATGGCTAATAAACATGGCTAGATCTTTCCCAGAGACGTTAGTAAGTTATGGTTTCTGATGAGGTATCGGTGGACCTGCATGGGTATAAATGCAGCTTCAGCTGATGTTTGGTTAATGGCTTTTATTTGGTCTGCATCGATGCGTGGGCTACATCAGTTCTAGCCACCGCACCATAGTGGTTCTCAGTGATGGCTCACCACTCAATCACTCCACATAACAGATGCATAGCTAACCAATTCGACAATATTCTCTGTAAACTCAGCCATATGATTACTAGGGGTTGGCCTCTGGGGGGGTGGGGAAACCACAGTACTGTCATTATAGAGATCCTAGCTTCTAAGGATGGCCATCTGTCATGGATGCTTTAGCTGAGATTCCTGCATTGCAGGGGGTTGGGCTAGATGGCCCTTGGGTCCCTTCCAGCTAGGATAAGAGCAGGCCGCACACCTGCTGCTGCACTCAAGGACTCTTCGCACTCACTGTTCATTGCCATTGACACCTCAACAGTACTAATCATCCATTGGGCAAGGAAGAAATGGCTTCTGGATTGAATTCTCAGTCCCAGGTGACCAACAATGGATTGAAAGATTGCAGTGAACCTGCTTTCGCTTTGAGCTTATTTACACATTACAGTCATAGTGAGTGAGGCAGAGGCCAGTCACTCTCGGATGTTTCCAAGGCTGAAGACCACCAGCCACCTTCCCTCTCAACAGGGAGAGAAGGCTAGAGAGATACTTGAAGCACTTGCTTGTCCCTTTTCTTTGACAATGGGAGATTTTTGCTTTCTGTTGATGAAACTCCTTCCAAGCGGGAAAGGGGGACTGCCGGTATGGCTCTAGGCTAGGTTTTTCAGGAGCAAAGTGCTGATTTACACATTTCAAAAATCTGATAATGAAGGAAGGAATAGCGTAGGAATGATGCATCAATGGGGAGATCAGACGTTTAGCAAGAGATTCACTTGTTTGCTAAACAAATTAAGTAGTTGCCACACTCAGAGGTTTTACATGCCATCAGCTCAAACACAATCCTTTTTTTAGTGAAGTGCATTCAGCTGCGAAACATCTAATAATAAATTATCAAATGATGAGGCACCCAGTGATGAATCCCAAGTGTTAAAAGCTGGATATTGTTGTAAAAGGAAATTTTATAGTTATACCATGTCTTTTGTAGAAGACTGGTGATCAAAATGAAAAAATTGGTGTATGCAGTAATTTGAACCAGAATTAGAAAAGTCCAGAATACTTCTGCAGTGTTGGCAAACTGCTGATAGGTGGATGTTTCTGCTGCTAACAACTTTTAGTAAAAGTGTGTTTTGTTCTGGTGAAGCCTTTGGCATCCAATAGCTGAGCTACTGTGATGACACTGAATGTACATGAACACCCCCAAGTATGCACAGAGCGAAGCTATCATAGCTTTCAGTCTCTATTCTGTGAGGGAAGGGAAGATTGTCAGTTCAGCTGGGACTAACTCTTACACAGATCGAAGAGCTGGTAGCATTGCGGAGGAAACAGAGAACTAGAAGAAGAGTTAATAAAGGAGGCAGACTTGAGTTCACATTAATTTGAACCAACTGGCCAATTATTTAATTAGAGGCTTTTCATCTAGTGGCATGTGCTTTCTATTTCCAATGTCTCTACTGGTAAGGGGTTACACAGTTTTACTCAGGTACAGAAATATTTCAATTTGTAGTTAAATCTCCAAAGCTGTAGCTCATTCTGTTAATGTGCTTTACTCAAATGAAAGTTACAACTGAAAGTTCAAATATATGTGGTGTAACAGATTATGGGGACGCTGAGGACATCTGTCCCATTCTGTGAACAGGCCTTGGAACAGATGTCTCAAATTTCTTCGAATTCAGAACATGCTGTCCTTTTTTTTAAAGAGATGAACAGCATCTCTTCTCCTTGTCATCAACCACCAAAGTATTTTCTTTAATACATAATATGTAAATTCTCAAAGCATCATTTTGCTCTTTAGTGAGTTTAGATATTACAAAATGGTTTAATTATAAAAACAGACAGACCTAGTCCTGGGACCTGTGTAGCTAGAAATAAATGTGCAATCAAAACTGCAATTACCTGCAGAATTTAGTGTAAACAGATCAGCAATCACATAACAAACACAGGCTAGTTTGCATTCTGATATGAATATAGTTAGATCCAAAGCAATTTTCCTTTATTTATCTTAGCTGCTCAGCATAAATAAAGCAAGGGCATTGAAGCAATTAGCATAATTAGAGTATCGTGGTCAGGCCCTGTGTGATTTCCAGAGACGTTTCACTTTAGAATTCTTTTTCCCCTACAAGAGTTTCCCTGAGCCACTAAAACATCGCTCTGGGCATTTTTGTATTTCAAATTTGCAAGTTGTCAGTTTGAAAAACCCTTGACACATGGATGTGAAAGCATCTCACAGACAACCACAGAAGGTATACCCTCCGCTTTTCATTATGAAGAAGCAGGGGAATTTCCCTTTTCAGCTCTTTCTTCTGTTTGGCATTTAACCCTAGAAATGTCAGATGTAATTATCTCAACTAACATGGAAGATACAAGGGTTAAAAGGAACCTGATTTTTTTTTTTTTTTTGTAGTTGTAGTTCAGGAATCTGTTTTTGCAAAAATTGCCATTAGTCCTCCTTGATGTGTTAGTTTTGTGTTTATTCACTGTCCCAGACAACAATGTTTTACATCTGATGCAAGCTTAGATAATAAATTATTGTGATTATGATTATTATTCATGGTTATTATTATTATTATTTCAGGATCCTGCAATTTATTTTCCAAGTGTACTCTTGTGACTTGACTTAGCGTAAACCTTTTGACTCTAAAGTCACTCTTGCTGGGGTCAGTGAGATTTACTTCTGAGTAATTGTGCAAAAAAATTGCAGGCTTAGGGCTGAATCACGAATGAATGTGTATTATTTTTACGATTGCTGCAACAATCAGAAGATTAACAGACCTGAATTAGCAGAATTTTCAAAATACTTCAAATATATTGAGTTAGAGCCACACCCTGGTCTCAGCCATTTTTTCTTTTAAGAATTATTAACCTTGTTCAGTTGGTAGAACATGAGATTCTTAGCATTAGGGTCGTGAGATTGATCCCCATGTTGGGCAAAAAGATTCCTGCATTGCAGGGTGGTTGGACTAGGTGACCTTCATGGCGCCTTCCAACTCTACAAGTCTATGACTCCGTCATCTCCCCTAACTCTCCTTGTCCTTTGTTGGTCTGTTAAGGCAGGAGAGAGAAAGCTTGAAATCACCACAATCTGCTAGAACAGTATGGGAAACCAATGAGCTTCCACATGTTTTGGAACTCCAACTCTCATCAGTCCCAGCCAGCATGACCAAAGGTCATGGATGATGGAGTTGTAGCCCAATGAATATCTGAAGAGGCTCAGGTTCCCCATCTTTTTCACATCTGTCATCCACTACCTCCACTGTCAGAGGCAGCAGTTGTGGGAAATTGCAGGTGGGTTGAGTGCATATTCTGCTTATAGGCTTCCTGTGGGTATCTGGTTGTCCACTGTGAAAACAGGTTGTTGGACTAGGTGGAACTTTGGTCTGATCTAGCAGGGTTTTTTTTATCTTGGGATCTATGTGATCTCCCCCTTCCTTTTGTGAATAATGTGCATATTATTCTGTCTCCAGACCTGGCCATTAATTTCTTAACACATCTTAATAACTGCAAATATGCAACTACGTCAATTAATTATACTAAGAGAGCAACATGAAGAAAAAAAGAACAAACCTTTCTAGAACCACATTTTCTCACAAGAGATTGAGCTTGATAGCTGGAACAGCAGGGACACCCATATGACAACTATTGACATGGGCTTATGGCATGGGCAGTTTCTGAAATCGCAAGATATCAAAGTATATTATACCAGTGTTTCCCAAAGTGGGCGATATTGCTCTCTGGAATGATCCAGGGGAGTGATACTAGTCTCAGGTGCAATGGGGGGGGGGACATTGAATAAAAATAAGGGGGCGATGGAAGCATAAAGAAAGAAGAAAAAATTGAAAAAATGTTTGTACATGTTGAATCTGTTGTGTAATGATGCTTACTGCCAGGTCGGTCACAGTTGTGGGATGGTAACGATAACTCCCTTGGATCTGGCAGTTGTGCTGGAGGAGAGGGGTTTTCCTAGTCTTGGGAGAACTCTTTTCAGCTTCATCCAGTCCCAGGAAGTGGGACAGCTTGCCAGCCTATTTGGCCAATGGCAGGTGGGCTGTGACACCCACTTAAAGAAGGTAGATTTCGGGGGGGCGGTGCTGAGGGTTTTTTTTTGAAAAGGGGGCGGTAGCCCAAATAATTTTGGGAACCTCTGTATTAGACTATTGAAAGTGCTAGGTAGACTCTTTAAACAACTTTTAAATGGTTATTAATTAAGGGTCTTTTGCTTAATTTTCCTAACTAAGTTACTGTAATATTGCTGGGGACGGGACATTTATAATGGTTGGGCAGGCTGGATCTGGCCCATGGATCATGGGCTCACTGCCCTAGGTGTAGCCAATACTTTGCGAGATCGACCAATTGTCAGTATAAAGCAGCTTCCTATGAAACAAGCAGAGCATGAAACAGAGTTATAGCCAAGAAGATGGAAATAAATGTTTGCAATGTTGTACAGGGATAAGTAGCATGACTTGGCGACAAATTGAATATGGTATACAAAGAAAAGGAAGGAATAACAGATAATAAAGCCAGGGCTTCATAGCTGATGCCTGGTCAATAAGATGCTTGTATCGATGATACAAACCGGAATTGAAACACAGGAGACTGGGGAGCTAAAATGAAGATTTCACTTGTATTTAATTTTTCAGTGGCAATAAGATGTCGAGCTCAAAATATGAGATGTGGGAGTAGTTTGATGGGACTTCTCAGTTGGGGAGGTAGAATGTCATTAGCGTTTAGGTGGTACTGAAAGCCATGAAATTTCCCTTTTTGTGGTGAAACAGGGCTGGGGAACCTGTTGCTCTCCAGAGCTCCCATCATCCCTGGCAACTGGGCATGCTGGTTGGGGCTGATTGACAACTGGCATGTGAAAAGAGGAGACTGAGAGGAGATTGTGGACTCTCCTTCCTTGGAGGTGTTCATGTAGAGGTTGGATGGCCATCTCTCATGGATGCTTTAGTTGTTATTCCTGCATTGCAGGGGGTTGGACTCAGGGTTCCACCTCTGATCCTATGATTTGTGGCATAGCCCTTTTTATATAATAGGCTGTTTCTTCTGAAAACAGAGAAACTTGTTTTAATTTGTGTTCAAATTACCACCCTAGAACGCAGTGAAGTTGTTTTCCCCCTGTGTGTTTCACAGCTGTTACCCCCCCCCCGCTCCCCGTCACTGTTTGTTTCTGTTTGTGCACACACCAGGGGGCAATGACCCAGACAAGGGTGTCTTTACCCTGTGTTCACACTGTGTTCACACTTGGCTGAAGGCAAGTTAAGAAGGGCTTGAAGATTTCAATCTATGTGAAGAAGTAGTTTGAGAAGCAATTTTGCAATAGTTTTGTGCATGTCCAATTGATGCGCAACTGCCGACATGTGGGTCCTTTTGGACCCGGACAGGGCAGAACGGGGGTGGGGCAGAACATGGAGGGTTTATTCACGCTCTGCCGACGTGTGCAGGGTCAGGAACGGAACCCCCATGTGAAATGGTCACCGCCTGTAGTAGTATCCAATAAGAAAGTACATGGATATACAGGGTGAGTCCTTTAAAAGATGCCCCGTGGATACAGAGTACACATGTTCCACGGGGCCTCTTTTAAAAGACTCACCCTGTATATGTGTTTTGGATAATGTCCTGTAAACATGTATTAGAAACCCAGCACTGAAAAGGCAGTGAGTGCATGGTAAACAGGAGTGTGATCACAGCCTTATTTAATACATCTGCAATTTACTGCTTGGCCATAGACCATATAATAACATTTGGTAAAATATAATGAAATAAAATACAACATGCTGAGTGACAACAAAGAAAATTCAGTGATGATACAACACTTGCCAGTTAAACCTATTGGCTTGGATTCTGAGTTGCTATATTCCAAGAATGGAAGGCTTCCTTCCATTCATTGAGGGGATTCCAGTGCAGCAGAGATGCTAGTGGAATTGGTTGAGGGGGCACAGGCAATTTTTGTTAATTCCTCATGCTCTTTTGAGTTCTTTCCAGAGCCAGATGTTCCAGAAGCTCCCACCATCCCTTTCTCCCCCTTCCAAGTAAGAGAATTTTCATGGGAATTTAGGATCCATGCTATTAAATCCACTCAAATTAACCCTGTCTTTCAGGCAATGAATCAGGTGATCCAAACCGATTTCTGAGTTTGGGGGAAGCAGGTTCAGTAGAAACAGAATTTCTGTAAATCAATCATAACTGATAACCCAAATAACACACTACCTAAATATTCTTCCTTAAAAGAAGGTAAAGAGACCCCTGACTGTTAAGTCCAGTCGCGGACGACTCTGGGGTTGCGGCACTCATCTTGCTTTACTGGCCAAGGCAGCCAGCGTTTGTCCACAGACAGCTTCCGGGTCATGTGGCCAGCATGACTAAACTGCTTCTGGTGAAACCAGAGCAGTGCACGGAAACGCCGTTTACCTATTTATCTACTTGCACTTTGACGTGCTTTTGAACTGCTAGGTTGGCAGGAGCTGGGACCGAGCAATGGGGGCTCACCCCGTCGCGGGGATTCAAACCGCTGACCTTCTGATCGGCAAGCCCTAGGCTCTGTGGTTTAGACCACAGTGCCACTTAGAAGATGCTATATTACAAGAGACTTAAAATAACTTCCACATTCCTTGAGCCACCCAAGTACAAATTTTGATTTGCACAATTTTTAAATTATTTGGAACTTTGAAAGTTCTGCAAAGACCCTGCATAATGAGCAGAGGGTTGCCTCATGTAAAGAACTCTCCAAATGATGATACACTTTTATAAAACAATAGTATTGGCAAATTGCAGGCTGCTGGATTTGAGACACATGCTAATATATCTGAAACTCCTTATATTGCTAACTAATTCTTAAGCCTGATCTAACTTAATTGCATTTACTATCATAAAATTCATGGAGCACCTGCTTGGGGCAAATCCACACCATACATTTAAAGCATGTGATTCCCACCCCCCCAACTCCCGAAAAGAATCCTGGGAACTATAGCATCCCCTCTCTCTGAGCACAATTAACAAACAACAATTATCAGAGTTCTTTTGGAGAAGCCATGGGCTTTAAACATAGGCTGAATGTGCTTTACCTGGCTGGTGTGTTATTAGCACTTCTATGTTCTGGCCTTGTCTCATTGTCTAAAATATTTCTTAAGACTGCCAGTTCTTACCTGTGCTGACCTTTATTGTACAAAATTATAGTCCTCAAATTCAGTGGTTTGGGTCCAGACAGGCCCTTCTCATAGATTTGCATCAGGGGCTCCAAGCTTAGGCCCCTGCTTGAGGAACAGACATTTTCACCTGTGCTGCAGCAACCACCTTCCACACTCTTCTCTAGGGTCTCTCAGCCCTCCAGAACAGGTTTTTTGGGGGGAGGGGGAACAGGCCAAAGGAGGAGCAACACAAATGAGTTTCCATCTGCCCCCATTGCCAGTTGGAGTCTCCCAAGAGTGGAATTCTGCTTATGGGAAACTGGCTCCAACTCATTGCTTTTAGCATCTCTCTCTCTCTGTGTGTGTGTGTGTGTGTGTGTGTGTGTGTGTGTGTGCGTGTGTGTGTGCACGTGTGCGTTTGTGTGTGTGCACTCTTTATGTATTTCCAAAGTAGGTCTTTTTATGATATAAATATGGCTTTCTGCAATATTTTTGTTAGGTTTTTCTCAGCAATATTTACCATTTCCAAAGTTAGGGATTTTCCAAAGATAAAGGAAAAATGGGGAGCGTGGGGGTTGCTTCTGCTTCTTTTTTAAAAATTCCAGAGGAGTACAGCACCCTAAATGTCACAAACCACTTTCCTGTTTCATGGCTACCCGCTCTCAGATGTGATACGAGCCCTCCTCAATAGTTGCTGGAGGCAAGGTCTCATCACATTAAGAGGATGAACTACTACAAGACTCCATTTCACTCTGCTGCACTGGAAGCAAAGCAGTTTATTTGATGGGACAGTTGTGAACCTCAAACCAATTTCCAATTTGTGTCTTCCTGCTCTTCCCCTCCATTCAAGACTGGCCGCATGTCTTTTATTATTAAATTAGGTCGGTATGGCATTACTGCAGACTGCTAGACCTTGGATAGGATCCAAATTGAGCTGGTCAGTGAAACTCCCTCTTCCGTTTGTTTGTTTGTTTGTTTGTTTGTTTGTTTGTTCCTTCTTTCCTCTTAGAAGGTCTTTCAAAAATCCTCTCCCTTTTCTGAAGGGGAAAGGAGGTCTCCACATGCCTACTCTGGATTCGACAAACATGCAGATAACAAAAAGGAAATGGAGCTGGAATGGCAAAAACAGTGGCTTCTGCCCACTGCCAAGCCTCCCCTTCCACTGCATGATAATTCCAAAATCACCTTTAAAAATATATGAACATATCATACTGTGTCGTGTTGGTTGCTTTGCATTAAAATTAATTCCATTCACACATTATAAAGCTTATTGGAGAAATCATTGGCAGTCAGCCTGACCTACTTGCCAGGGCTGTTGTGAGCACAAACGGGGGTAACTCCACAGTAATTTTTATTATACAGTATCAGTGTACATGGGTGTGTGTGATAACATTATGCCCCAAACTCTTTGCAATGCTTAATTTCAACGTGCAGGGGAAGCGGGGGGAAGAGAGGAGTCAAGGTTACAAACAGTGATCAGATGCAGTTGCACTTATGTAGGCTTTGTTTCTGTTGGCACTGAGTCTTGATGGAGCTGTTCCGTTTTATTTTCCCGGCTACTTTCATCTTCCAGAATACTAGTACTACACCTATCTCTCAAAGCTGAAATAAAGATTTCACAACATCCAAATGATACATGCATGGCTTCCACAATCATGCATTGCTCCATCCTCAGAATTTAAAAATGCTAAA